GGGGAGGGGGGGTAGCCCTCTGCCTATCCAGTGAGTACGCAATTATCTTGTATTGTCAAGTATCAAGTTCCAGACAAAGTCCACTAATGAAATCGCGGAATTTACTGAGTTCAGAGGGAACTCGGCGAAGTTCAGAAACAACTCGACGTTGTGTTTGGCGAGTTCTGTTCTCGGCAAAAGTACTCAGCTGGACAGTCATTAGCAATCATTAATTTTGCGAGTTTCTATTATTGTGCACTTGACAAACATTTAAATAGTCATTGCGGAGTTTTCAAAAACTTTTAACTCAGCAAACTACCAGGGTTAGGTGAAACGGCCATTAACGACCCAATATTACATGACACACTAATGCTTCACTAATTCAATTACTGGATCGCCATCCATATTTGTTGAACAAAATTCATGCTACCATCTCCAAATGGCTATGACTAGAGGCCACAGACCTCCGGAACCAGCTCCTCTGACATACGGCCAATGCAAAAGGAAGTTTAAATGATTATTCCAAGAACTTGATTGATGGTGGAGTGAAGCTGCTGTATAAATATGCTCCACCGACGCAAAAGGAAGATATACCTTCTTCCATTCATCTCGTCCGAAAACAGTGTGATATGGCGACGTCGCAAAGCTCATGGCTCCTCAGGCATCCTTGTCCAGTATCGATGCCATGGACATGGAATAATATAGGTCTCAAAGTGACCAACATCACCTACTGGTACGTATCGTGCGTATGTACAATTCAGTTGAAAATAGATTAGTGGATCGATGCATGCAATGCATCTCTCGATCACTGTTCTACTTGATTTTACGCAGGAGATGCAGTAGGGCGAATAATGGAGGAAGAATCATGGCGGATATGAGTATAAGCACCGCCAACTGCTTGGCACAACCTGCGCAACTCCAAGGTGAAACTCCAACTGGCCGGGGCTCCGCCGTTGCGGCTAGGCACGAAGAGGAGGGCACTGACGACGAATGGCTCATGTACCTGGAGCCGGCGAAGCTAGAGCCGTTCGATCATCTGGAGCCTTGGGCGGAGGCGAATGTGGTGCCGCTCCTTAAGCCCGCGCAGGTGGCGTGGCAGCCGACGGACTTGCTGCCGGACCTAGCGTCGCTGGGCGCCGACGGCTTCCACGCGGCGTGCTCCGACATCGCAGCGCGCGCGGCCGATCTGCCCGACGCGCACCTCGTGTGCCTCGTCGGGAACATGGTGACGGAGGAGGCACTGCCGACGTACCAGAGTATACCCAACCGCTTCGAGGCCGTGCGCGACCTCACCGGCTCCAGCGCCACTGCCTGGGCGCGCTGGATCCGCGGCTGGTCCGCCGAGGAGAACCGCCACGGCGATGTGCTCAACAGATACCTCTTCCTCTCCGGCCGCGTTGACATGCGGCAGGTCGAGAGGACGATCCACAACCTCATCCAGTCCGGCATGGTCATGAACGCCGCGCGGAGCCCCTACCATGGCTTCATCTACGTCGCCTTTCAGGAGCGTGCGACGTCCATCTCCCACGGCAACACAGCCCGTCGCGCCAAGGAGCACGGCGACGTGGCGCCATCGCGGCCGACGAGAAGCGGCATGAGCTGGCCTACACGCGGATCGTGGGGAAGCTGTTCGAGATCGACCCGGACGGCGCCGTGCGCGCGCTGGCGTACATGATGCGCCGCCGGATCGTCATGCCTGCGTCCCTCGTGACCGACGGTCGCGATGGTGACCTCTTTGGGCACTACGCGGCCGTGGCGCAGCAGGCCGGCATTTACACCGCCTCGGACTACCGTAGCATTTTGGAGCACCTGATAAAGCAGTGGGGGGTGGAAGAGTTGGCGGCGGCCGAACTCTCCTACGACGGGAGGCGTGCGCGGGACTACGTGTGTTCCCTGCCAAAAAAAATCTACAGGTTGGAGGAGAAGGCCCACACACGTAACAGCAAGAAGGCCCAGCGCATGACATCCGTCTCATTCAGCTGGATCTTTGATAGGCCCATCAACATCAGCGTGGCCTAATCAAATTATTAATTATACTAAAAATATTTAAATAAATTTTACTATGAAAAAATAAAACGCCATTTCTCTATATATGATATATTTGGGAGGAATTAAACATTATTCATCTATACTTTGCCATTGCAAACGGCGCCGCGGAAAGTACTATATCATACTGTTACATTAGTATTGTACTACGTATTATAAAAAGTGTAATTTCTTTGTAAGCTATGTGCAAATTTGCTGTCATTATTTTTTTCATTTTTGTTTTACTTAAAGGGTAATAGCCACTAATTCATTCTTCCTTCGGAAACTTCATTTCTTTTGTGCATTTGTTATTATTTTTCAATTTTTTTGTCTTGTCTCTTGTAAGGTACCGAGTCAGTTTCTGTTATGTATCGGACCAAGCCTAAGTATCTGATGGGCTACATTTTTTTAGTTGCAAAGGGCTGAGTTCTCCTCTAAAAAAATGTATAGTAGGCATAGTTTGGTACTAAGTCTTTATAGTTTTTTCATTTAGGCATAGTTGCATAATCTTAATTTTATTATTTCTTTTTTATTTTAATGATAAACCACTCCCCTAGTTCGTGCTTCCTTACAAAGAGTTTGCTTTATTTCTTATGTGAGGTAAAATGACTCATATAATCATTTTCTTCTTCAGAAAGAAACGTGGTCTTCTTTCTTTCAGTTTTCTTTCATTTCTTTGAGATACCACGCGGTCATCTTCGCTTCGGATACGACCAAATATATTTTCTGTATACATATATTGCAAGTGATATTTGTATTATTTTGTTGTCGAGTAAAAAGGTACTATACGTACCACGGTTTACTCGGGAAGACAAGATGGAGATTTCCATAAACTACGAGTCCAGATTTGTAATTTCCAGCTGCTTGTTCATTTCTAATCAAGTTGAAGCAGCACAATCAGAAATCTCGAAGATAAGATGAGCTTACGTTTGCACGTGCATCTAGCATCATCCAGCATGCGAAGCTTGCATATAGATGTTCACGCACAGCTTCATTTTTTTCTCTCTGAATGGTCATGACGCTTTGAATCCAGGAGGGAGCGTGCTGCATGCTGCAGGGCGAGCTATATATATATATAATAGGGTCGCGCTATTCGCCACCCTGGGTGAGGAATTTTTATTTCTCATCCCAGCCAACTTGGACGTCCGACCAACAGCGTCGCTGGGCACTAGCCTAAGCAGCGGTAAATTTACGGCAAGCAAAGAGAACCCAACCATCCGCACGCACATGCGTGCGATGCAATTTTTCTTTTTGTGTGAGGTAAACTTACGGCACTAGTCCGTTCTTGATGTGTGCTTCCATTCCATCCTTAAGAGCCAACGTAAGATTATGGTTTGACTCCCCGTGAAACCAACCAACATATCTAGACGAGGTAAGTTTTTTTTACATTGAGTACCGGGTGCTAAGCTGACTAGTGTGTTGCTAGATTCATCTATGAATATTTCAAATAGACTCAGTCTAGCGATCTTGTAGCAAAAATGAAAGGCCAACGACGTTTGGGTGGTTTTGCATGTACCCAAGCTCACGTTGGGGTCATACTTTTATCTGATGGTTTTGGCTATATGTAGTAGTTCAATGGTAGCATATCTGAATCATTCATAATGGCTGACCTTGAGCAGGAGAGAGTGTGCCAAATATGTAAGTACTCTACAGAAATATGTGCTCGTGGTCTTGGTTTCTCCCAACTTTCGCTCACAATATCAAGACGATTCAAGTGTACAATGGTAAGCCATCAAGATTACTCTTTAGTGTTTTAGTATTAGTCAAACATCCATCGTTCATACCATTTTGGTCAATGGATAGGTGATTCCATGCAAACTAGGAAATAACTTGACTCGTTTCTGGAGAAGTGAGATGAAATTGCAGATGACACCAACGGGTGAATGGTACGAGTTTGAAGTAGGAAAGCGTGGACGAAAATACTACCTGACTGGAGAATGGGAGATGTTTGCAAGCATATACAGAATCAAACACGGCGACAAGCTTCATTTTAGTGTTGGTTCACTTGTGCATGAACACCTGGTTGTTGGCCATGTACGCCGGCTGTCAGGCGATGTTGCGATGCCTAGATGAACAATAGGTTGGTGCAAAATTTCTATGAAAAGTAGTAGACAAAATAACATATAATATGAGGAAATCTCACATAAAAATTGTAATGGTATGCAGCGGAATACGAGGCTGAACAATGATTTCAGGGGATGGAGTGATTTACACCATGATGTTGCTCCCTCCGCATATGATGGTCAATCTAGATAATTACTATCATTTTTATTGTTTTACACCACCATGGGCGTAGGGTTCAACAAAAGAGTTGGTACTTACATTCGGTATATTTAACTAGTTACTAGTGGTTTATAGTTTCTTTTTGCAAAAATGTGGTGCTGTTTCATTGTTGACCCAAATCTCGCGGAAATAAAATGTTTCACTGCTTAAATGGCGGCAATAATCTGTGTTGAGAGACTATTTAACTGGCATGTGAGCATAGTTTTAAATAGCGTGCTAAGTCTTTTAGCGGCGGACCTCTTCTAAATGCTATAGCGTGGTATAGCGAAGTTATAACGTGCTATTTAATTTTTTTTGTTCATTTGTTTGGACCAAAGACTTTTAGCACAAGACCTTATGTAAACAGAACACAAAGTCTATAGGGGGCTATTTAAAACCATGCATCTGACTCGTTGAATGTAGTGGATGCAGAACACAAAATGAAGGTACTGGATATGTGGTTGAAATGTACAACAGAAATAAAATACCCCTCGAAAGCTATATGCGATAAAAAAAAAGAATCGATCATTGTTTTTAGGGAACTATGGATTTCAGTTCTCCATTTATGTAGGCACGAAGGAAAAAATATATCGGCCTGATTGAAAGCTTTTTTTTGAGGGGTGGTCTGATTGAAAGCTGATCCATTATTTAAAGGTAAAATATATGTTCCAAATTAGATGCAGTGAAGATATACGTAGATTTTACGTTACAGTTGAGACAAAATTGTGTGTGTGGCCCGGAATGTGTAATAAGCTAGGTCGGAATATTATTTGTGACATAGGAGAAACAGGATATATCATATGTACCGTATTTGATGCTACATACGATAAGTTTGTAAATAGATGATACATTAGAGTTATATACCAATGATGGAGTATGTGCTGCAGACTTAGCGCTGTACTTTCTGAATATGAATGATATGTAGTAAAATAAAGATGGGAAAAAAATAAAAGAATAAAGTAAATAGTCAAAATGAGCAGATTATGCAAGAACAAGAGGAAGGATAAAACTTCCTAGTTCATGTATGTAATTTCAGAAGAATATACGAGGATGGGATGCTGGCTCGGTCGATTGTGGCCCATCCAATCTGCTGGCTCGGTCGATTGGCCGGGGTGAGGAATAAGTAATTCCACACCCTGGGAGTCTAATAGAGTATATATATATATATATATATATATATATATATATATATATATATATATATAATCAGGCAACTTTCTTGTAGGCAGTCCCAAAAAATACGCTTTTATGTACGTGCATTGACATTGATCCTGCATTGACCTACTCGTCCAGCCAATGCCTCTGCGTAATTAAATCTGTTAACAATCCTAAGATCAAGAATATATATATGTGTGTGGGTGTATGGGTTCCGGGGGCTAGGTGTTGGACAAAATTTCAGGAATGATCTTAATTCATACGGAATGAGACTCATGGAATTGAACCAACGAAGAAGCAAACTCATGGACTCATAGGTAGGTTGTCGGCCGGTGCTAGTTGGTCGGTTAGCAAGATGACATTATGGATCAGAAAGACGGGCAACATTGCAGTAGCCATTTTTATTTTTGAGTTGAAAATCCCAATAGCCATTTAATATGTTTATTAGGCAAGAGGAATGCCACTAAGTATAGTGGAACAGAACAATAAGTTGAGCAAGAACCAAGAAGCAAGAAACAATAATGTCAAATTTTAGATTCCTCAGGAACTCCGCCTACATCACTATTAAATATTCAGTTCTTTACTTTGGAAGAAGAACAAACCTGGTGACCATTTATTATCTTGATTGTTACTCTCTCCGTTTCAAAATAGATGACTCAATTTTGTATTAACTAACATGCGGAGACATGCTCCCTCCGCATATGATGATTTACACACCATGATGTTGCTCCCTCCGCATATGATGGTCAATCTAGATAATTACTATCATTTTTATTGTTTTACACCACCATGGGCGTAGGGTTCAACAAAAGAGTTGGTACTTACATTCGGTATATTTAACTAGTTACTAGTGGTTTATAGTTTCTTTTTGCAAAAATGTGGTGCTGTTTCATTGTTGACCCAAATCTCGCGGAAATAAAATGTTTCACTGCTTAAATGGCGGCAATAATCTGTGTTGAGAGACTATTTAACTGGCATGTGAGCATAGTTTTAAATAGCGTGCTAAGTCTTTTAGCGGCGGACCTCTTCTAAATGCTATAGCGTGGTATAGCGAAGTTATAACGTGCTATTTAATTTTTTTTGTTCATTTGTTTGGACCAAAGACTTTTAGCACAAGACCTTATGTAAACAGAACACAAAGTCTATAGGGGGCTATTTAAAACCATGCATCTGACTCGTTGAATGTAGTGGATGCAGAACACAAAATGAAGGTACTGGATATGTGGTTGAAAT